TTTTTTTTTTGGTACGCCTTAAATATTTACTCATAGTTTATACTACTGTTGTCAATCAGAAGCGCTTACTAGAATCCTGTGCTTTCTGTCCACTATAAGGGGTGAGGATTGGTAAATTTCAACATTCGTAGGACGCCAAGACTCCAGTTTAAAATCTGTTATTAGACAACTAAACTTTGCAGTTCGTTACCATCGTCACTTTGCTCGGTTTATTGTGAGTTTTAGAACTACGTTTGAGTTCCGTTGCGAGAGTGCTAACTTAGCTGTACAGCAGTACTCATGACAGATGAATGTCGAGTTAAAGTGAGCAACAAAGAGTGGCATTTAAAGGATGTTGCTTCAAACATCATCTTTGAACTCCTAGCTACCTTTGGTCGAGATCCGGAATCGGCTGCAGAACAAACACTACGCTTTTGAAGACTTTGGAGGGAATGAAACATTAAGAAGCCTTTTTCGCTGACAAGATTTTTAGATTGGATAAAAGGGTATTTCAATAACTTCTGGTACCTTCTTAAAGTTATTAATGGGCAATCCTGCTGTATCCAATGGAAAAGATAATTTTGGTTGCCTTCTCTCAGTGCAAATTTCCTTCGTTACACATTCAAGTAGAACGCGTCTCAGAAATTATTTGAAGGACTTATTGAGAATCAAGAAATCTGATCACTACGGAGTCTCCGAGGAACCTCTGCCTCGGGACACCCTCAGAGGGAACACACTGATAAAGATTTATGTTTCAGAGGACTGTTAATCTTTTGTGAGCCTGATGACTTAATGAATATTAAGCTCTAAGATTGAGGCGAAACCTGGTATACAGCAAACACAGAGTACGTAATTTTTATGGGGACAACTCATTCAGGTGTAACTTGAGGTAGTTACTGACTACAGAGCTGTGTCCATCATTGTCTCGGAGAGTTCCCCATCAGTTTTTGTCTGCGGAGCTTCCGCAGTTTCTTGGGCTTCTGAGCGGTCATTGTCATCGTCTAATCCTTGGTTTTGCTCTGTTAAATAATGGAACAAAATCGTCAACATTTACGACTTTAAATTCTAGCAGGTTGCCTGAGTAATTTTTTGTCAACTTTAATGGAACAAGATGCTCCAAGTTACACCATAACGTGTTTCTAGGCAACATTGTTGTAATGACCCTGCGTTTGCGTAATTATGAATAAGAGAATTCATAAATAGATCTGAATCGTTGATATTCGGCTAAATAATGGAGATAAATATATACAAATTAATCGAATGAAGTCTTACACTGCTGTAAAAAGTAAAATGTTTCACAAATCCGAGCTTTCGTCGATCGGCGAAAGCTCGGATTTGTGAAACAGTTTACTTTTTAGTGTAAGGCTTCATTCGATTAATTTGTATATATTTCAACAATGCTGCTGAAGGACAACATGAACAGATTAATGGGGATAAACGTTTAAACAATTTTACAAGTAACTTAAACCATACCTTCTTCCCCAGAAAAATCTGCATGTTGCTGCTCATACTGTGAATTTGCAGCAGCATCGTTCTGGGACTTTGTATGATCTTCAGTCCTTGTTTTCTTCGGCTGCGCTGTGATTTGCTCATTGGACTCAAAAGGCTCAGTTTCTGGCTGTCCTGGCTTGGGAGGTTTTTTGCGTTTTATGTCCTGTGGTTCTTTATCTTGGGGTTCAGTATGTTCTACCCTTGGGTCCTCATGTTTGGGAACCTCCGCTTGCTCTTTTTCAGGTTCCTCCAAGGCTTCTTTGTTTGGTCCTGTGTGGAACATGCAAATATAAGATATTAGTAAATGTGGGATGTGTACTTTTCTTTCGTTACCAAGTAAACAAGTGAATTAAAGAACATCGTCACAGAGCAAAAACCGATGAAGTTGCACTGGTTCTTGCTTACTGAAATGTATTATGGTGAAGGACAGAGGCCAAAAGAAAAGGCCACAACTAGCTAACGTAGTGGCCAACGTTTGGTGGTGTAAAACCAAATAACACTGACTGAATTAGACAGCATAACTTTAAACGGAAGTGAAAATCGTTTCTTTTTCTCTTTAGTTCACATACCCTCCTCCCCTCCAGCAGTATTTAGTGCCCTCATCGCCAAAGTCTGCACAGTACCTGTATGTCTCCCCCCTTAATGAAAGACAAAATTTAGACAATCGATTTTCTATCTAATTTATTGAGTATAATAACCAGCTAAAGCCAAACATCAGTGGTTGCCATACCTTCTCCGTTCTTGGTTCGACCACACTTTGCCACGAAATAACGGCACAGCTGTTGCCATTTTGCTTTTAGAACGTCTCGAACCTGTATTTGTAACAGAAAAGGTTTGTTTACTTTGAATTAAGAGTTTTCCTTTTATGATAATTACATCCTAAATCCTAAAGGTTTTCGTTGAAATGCATCTGTTTTTGAGATTGTGAAACTCAAATTGTACATTTGATGATAAAGTATTTTACTTGTCATTTCTGAAAATCTGTGATCCATTTTCAAACACTTGCGCAAGGATATTTTCCAAAGATCAAAAGAAATGTGCAGTCTCTTACATACCCCATGCTTTCTTCGATTCACATTCTGTTAGGAATCTTGCAACATTTTGTTGGTTAAATCCTTAATGCTTATTGATTTCCACATATTTTATTTCGTCTTTTGCTCCAGAGTTGGTCATTTTAAACTGCCATCTTTTATTTCATTCTAAACGTCGTGTAAGAGGTACGAAATTTGTGCCAAGGTAAATGAAATAACAAATCTGTAAGCTTTATTTCTTTTTAATAGCATATTAAAGTATTTATAACTTTTCGAATGACGATTACCTGTGTTGTGGACAAGGTGTATAGAATCGGATTAATGGCAGAGTTGAGTGGAAGAACAAACACTGCAATCCACACGGCGAGATCTCCTGATGTACTGAACGACTTTTCCACTATGGACCGGAGTCCAATCACAATAATGGGCATCCAGCAGACACAGTCAGTCAGGATGATGAAAAACACCCGTTTGGCAAGAGCTGTCTCTCGCTGGGTGTTGGCTGACATTGCCTGGACCTGATATCTGTTTATAACTATTGCAAGATAGGCCAAGACGACAAAGGCAACAAATGTCAAATTCAAGCCAACGAAGACAACAACAGAATATTCCCAACCAGGTGCCTTATCATTAGAGAGCTGAAGTGGGAGACACACAACAGATTTGCCGTAAAAGTGATCATCTCCAGCAGGGGCTCTAAAATACTGAATGCCAATGGTGGGAAGAAAAGCAATTATGAAACCGATAATCCAGATAATAAAGCACAAAGCATGAGTGGCTTTGTTGGTTAGTCCACCAACATGGAAAGGGAACACAATATTTTTCAGCCTGTCAGCAGAGATAAGAGAAAGAAGCATCAGTGAGACCTCGCTTGATAACACAGCGATTGCACCAATTATCTGGCATGCAAGACTTGTTCGCCAGCTATAGTCATGCAAGTGATATTGGCCTGCCCATATCGCATCCTTCCAACTTATGGTGATGAGGTAAATACCCATTAACCCATCAGATACCGCCAAGTGAATCAACATGATTGGCTGTACAATATTTTTCTCCCTGAAGACCATTCGCCATGTGATGACAAATATAGCTCCAACCAGAGACATGATTCCTATCGCCCAGATACATGTCCTAGGGGCTCGATTTCTGAACATTGTCTCACAACTGGCAAAGCTGTCCACATAGACATAATCGGAATCCGCGTCCTCTTTCGTTAATTGACAGCACATCATGTTGGTGTCTACAGTCCTACGGTTCAAAAAACACTTCAAATAAATATCAAAAGTGGTAAAACCTGGTCTAGAGATGGTAGAAGAGTTGCTGTAATGAACATTAAAAAAAAGGAACCTGATAATTGCTTTTGTTTCGATTTTAAAGGAGAAAGAGTTCTGTTTTGTTTTAGTATCGAGTGTATTGATACGGTTACAAGAAAATTTTAGTGCTCTGTAGTCTTACAATGGTGGATGAAAGATCTAAATCGCTTTAAACCAAGCTTTCAGAGTATTCTAATTCACTCACGCTGTTATTAAATATGGCATATTCGAGAGGAATCCTTCTGGTAGCCTGCGCATTCGGTTGTAATGAAAGTATCTGCAGATTAGAAGAAACCAATACAGCTTAGTAATCCCTACTCATTTTATAATGACATAGTTCTTCTCCAGCCTGATGTGATAATCTCCTCTGGGGGCGTTCACTCCCTTGAACCAACTAACTCGCCGGTCCCTAGGAACTCACAGACTTGGTAAAATTTCTCGTGCGCTTTGAAGCCTAAGAGAGTGGAGAGGGTATACCATTCTCGCAATAGTCAGTCGTGCTTCAAGCGTGGTGATACCCACACGTTTTAAATCGTAGGAGTGAGAGACCTCCGGGAACGTTGGAACACGAGCGAGCAGTTCACCACGGCCTCTGGTACCAACGTAATCACACTTTTCCAAAGTAATATTTAAAACATAATCCAATATGCTGAATCGCCTAAAATCATGCTACATCAAACTTCTACTGTAAGTAAGGACATAATTTATAAAATTCCGGACGCCTTAAATAATAACAGTTTTTGCATACTCACAGGAATCGTATAGTTGGTGCGACATCTTTAAATTGTTCATTGGACATCTCGCGGATTTTATTGAAATGAAACCTCCTGAAAGGTAAGAGAACATTGAAAGTCTTAGATTGACAGACAGGTGTCACAATATATGGAAAACTACACTGGGGGTGACAACAGAGAAGGATGTTATTGCAGTAGATTTATAACTGGAACCTTTAAAAAAAATGAACCGTCTTTTTTTCAGAAGCGTAGAAAGATAAACGATTTCCTTTCGACAACGTAGGTCCAAACCCGCGTTCTCAGTGAGTCAATTTTGTCCGAATGTTCTGGTAAGAACTTCCCGAGATCCTTTTTGCCCCTCCAAAGGTTAACTATCGAGAATCAAACAAAAGGTAAGAAAACTGTACTTACATAGATATTTTTGGAGACCGCCTAGCGTGGCAAACATGACAAATTGATGGAGATAAAATTAAATACACCTGCTTGTGTTATAAAGTAAATATTTCATTTGCTGTTGCCTTATTCAAACATCTTCCCAACGCTATTTTGTCGTTTTACCGTAAACAACAGAACAGGTTTCAATGGAGTGTGAAAAAAAACCACAGCCAAAGTTATCCCATCGACCAATCAGAAAGAAAGGTTTATTATTAGCAAAATTAATGAGAACTCAAAATGAAAACCGGCAAACTATACCTGAAGAGCAGGAAAACGCGATTGACCGGGCATCAATTTTTTTTTAGTTTTGCATCTGATTCGTTAAGAGGATGGGGCAGGTTTTGTGGACCAATCACAGATCAAATTTATTCAAGGCCAAAGCAGTCCAGGATTACTTTCAAAAATCAATTGATTTTGCTCTAACGCCGATGCATTGGTTAACGAATACGATGAACCATTTTTCGTAGATGGAAAAGATTGCTAAAGTCCCTTGTTATTCCTTTACCAGTATTTTTCTTTTCCAAGACAAATCCTTTTGGAAAAACAAGTTCGATTGATGGAGGGAAAAAACTAAGAAAAAGACGAGTTGGGTGGGGGAGAATGTTGATTCACCAAACCAACCCCTCGTGCGATGGTACAAATGTTACTTGTAATTTCGAGTGTTAAATCTTTGTTTAAGTTTAAGGTTGCCTAACACACTTTTCGCGCGCGCTTTTGCTGATGCAATTCAGCGCGCGCACAAGGATTGCAAAAAACAAACATGCCATCAATAGAGCGGCCATTTTATTTACCTAACACGTACCCACACTATCTGTACTATTTTTCTCAATAGAAAAGTTAACGGTGCAAAGAACCCAGCAACTCTCAGCTTTTTCGTCATTACCGAAAGAACCCAGTTGAATGCAACGCATGCGTAGTAAGTAAAAAAATTGCGATTTAATGGAAAATTGCTTTCTCGGAAATATGCCTATTTCTTGAGAACCACCCATTAGAATTTCACGAAATTTGGCACGAAAGTACTTTAGGAAATAAGTAACTGGAGTATCGAAAAAAAATTACTTTTAAGCAAAGGAAATTCTAGATAATCGAATGAACCTTCATCAAGGGATAATTAAAGATCTCTCTGTTAAATTATTAGCAAAATGGTGTTAACTTGTGAGTATCGTTACAAGCTGGTTGCATGCAAATCAAAGAAAATCTAATGACTAGATTTCCTACAAATGAACAAAACCGATTTTAATTTCCTGTCTATACTTATTAATGTCGCCATGGCAACGGCACATACGTCAGCTTAACTGTCGAAAAAACAAAGTTTGTGTTGCTAACTTGCATGCTGCCAGTTTTGGCGACCGAGAGATCAAGGGTTTTAGAGAAAATGGTGAAAGAAACACGGGTATTCAGCCACCGTAAGCCAGGATTTTTCTTTTCGAAGTCGAAATTTGGGCTATTGAATCAGAGTATCGCTAGGTCAGGAAAGTTTACTTAGATTGTAAATATTTTTTCCGTCGAGCCATTTATTCCAGACTTGATGTAGTGCCAAAGTACTGCGTATATCAATAAAATCAGTACATTTACTTACAGGTCTTTCAGCTTGGACAGGCCGTAGAATTGATCTGCCGACAGCTTTGCGAGGCTGTTGTTATCCATATATCTACATAATAAATCGAAATAAAATGTGTGATTATTCAGGCTATGTTAATAGGGCTGCCGTTATTGCCTGGAGTCATTAATAACAGTTTAAGATGGTGGGAAACGTTAATGAAATTTAAAACTTGTCTTGCCTAATCGAATGGATTTGATCCTTTATTGATTATTGATCCCCTTTTGACGGTATTACCTACTGTATACTTTAAGAACTTAGAAATGCGAGAAAGGATTTTTCGGGTAAAATGATGAAGAGTCTCCAAGACCTCCTTTAATTAATTCAGCTTATACGAGACCCTTCTATTGACCCAATCTGCATTACAAACTTGATGTACGTACAATGTCTCTATCTCGGAGAGATGGTTGAAATGCGGCAGACGTTGAATTCTGTTACTAGACAGAAAGCTGCAGGGAAAAGTTTAGCAAGAAAACAAAGAACAATCACATTAGCTTAACGGATTCTTAAAATAGTTTCTGCTGCTGCTATCTGGATAATGACCAGATCGTTTCAAATACAAAATACTAGTGGTTCAAACATTGTGAGACGAAATATTAGGACTGTCGGAATTTGACACCTCCTATTAAGTTACATGAAGTGTTTGCACCTGATCCCAAAGAATTGGGATAAAAAGAGCCATTTGTTTGTTCTCCCTCTGGAATTGGGCGTCTCAATTATTCTCAGTAGCAATGCATCCAGACTGTGGGAGGTCGGCTATATCACTAGTCAATCCCCTTTTTTAAAACGCAAACCTCTCTTATTGTCTTGGAGCTCAAATATGACCACTAGTTTGTTGAGCTAAATCGAATAAGTTGTATAAGACAGTAAATTTTTAGTTGGACTGTTTCATACATCATCCATGATTGTGTTGCAGTAACAACATCATAACGAGGCAAACGTATTTAATCAGCATTCTGATAGTATATAGTAAATTGAGCTTTTGGAAACTTTGTAAATTGAAGCGCGGCTTTTATGTAAGACTTCTTTATTCTTTAATCGTATTTAAGCCGAATGCCACTTACAGCTTTTTCAATTTAGTTAGGTTGCCGAAGACATCCAAAGGCAGATGTTTAATCTCATTGTTTGACAAATCCCTTGAAAGAGTAATTGGAATAGAAGCTAACTGTCAAAGATATCTCAATACGTCCACTTGAAACAAAGGACAGCATTTCTTCCCCTTCCCTTCCTCACCCTTCCGGTTGGTACTGAATTAGATTAGTTTTAACAGTTCATTTATTCCCGAACAGACGTTTTACCAACGCAAACTTCGCCTATGAAATATAGCCCAAAAACCATCAACCAAGGCAAAGAATAAACAATTTCGTGCAATCGGGCTGCAGTGCCAAACTACTTTCATTCATCGAAAGTCTATTTTTGCGAGAAAATAGTTGCTGAGTTCCTTATAACAAAACAATACTTGAATTGTGCTCTAAAGGGATCTCAAACGGAAGTTGAAATAAGCGAGAGATAAAGTATAATTAAACAGTATCTGATTCAGTTTAAAATTGTATCTGGTTGTTTTTAATACGAGCCTTACTCACAATTCTCTCAGCTCAGTATTTGTGCTTAGAACGCCTCGAGACAAGTTTTGCAGCTGGTTGTAAGACAGGTCCCTGAGAGTAAGAATGATCGGAAATGTGTTGATTTCAAACCGGAAAAGGAAAGAAAACAAAGAGAAAGAATACAAGAATTGAACTGAGCGTAACAAAGCTCAAATGTCTGTATATTTCATCACTTATGCTTACTTAAACATTACTGTCTTAGAAAATCCAAAAGTAAATTGGCTTGGAAAGGTAAATATGAAAAGGGGTATATTTCCTCACTCCATCAAGTTTGTGACCTAACCAACTTCTTTCTCCTTGTCAATGGGCAAACTCCACTAGCGTCTTGTGGCTTACGACACTCAAACATGCCAATGCCGGCGAAAAATTGAACTGAAACAACTCTTAACCGCCGGACTTTGATGACCATTTCAGCTAAGGTTGTGGAAATAACCATGTTCCAGGTTAAAACACCCCTTTGCTGAACTAAAATATGTAAACTATTACTTAGCACGACCAACACCATAAAAATAGGCTCTTATTGAGCACTTACACAGCACGTTAAAGATAAAAATGTATTTCATTCTTAACCTGGTTTTTAAAAAAGGTTTGCGAAAATAAACTTTAGTTAATTACAGTTCCTCCAGGTTAGTCAATCCATGAAATATGTTGAGAGGTAGCGTCTTTAGCTGGTTGCCGACCAACCGCCTGCATGAATAGCGAAAAAGATGATAGGGGTTTTAAATTAAGAAATATTAAACTTACATTATCAGTTTAACAGACAAGGAATAGGAAAGAATACAAGAAAAAATAAGATGTTGGCCCCAGATTGATCCTCACGGAAAAATTAATTTAAAGCAGTTTTAAAGAACAAGCCTGAAAAGTTGTGAACATGTACCACCATGATAAAAAGGGTACAGAGGAATCCGTCGCACCCCTTCTCATCCCTTCGGATACCCAAGTTGATCCGAGACTTGTAATCAAATAACGCTCAATGTTGTACTTTCTTCAAAAACTTAGTGATTTATGTAAGCTAGAGACTTGGCTCTTGATAAACACTGCCAGTCTTTTGTGACCATGATCAACTGTTTTTAGGTAAGTTTTTTTTATCAAATGTATGTACTCGTGTTACTGGGCAAAGGGAACAAGGTATGATAGCTTTCTTTCAAGCGGTTGCTGCTGCGAAATATCATCATTACTACTCACAAATATTTCAAAATACTTTGCCCTTTGAACAGATCTTCAGGTAATGTCTTTAAGTTGTTGTTTCCCAGCCAACTGTAATAAAAGAGTTCCATTTTTTGTACTAAATGAAGGAATTCACAATAGAAAATGAGATTCACCACTACTTTGTGGAAGGTTCCTCTCTAATTTGTTAAAAAAAAATAAAATAAAAGGTCTAGAATTTAAGTGTACCCATTAATGACATGAAAGCGATCCTTTAAATATTTATGAATGAGGGAAACTAAGTGGTCAGGGAAGTCTCCTGTTAGTACTTATTCAATTTCAGTCGTTAGTCGTCTGGGAAGCAGATGAGGGAGTTGGCAGATTCTTCGTATTTGGAAGATCAGTAGGAAGAAGGTCCTTGCAGAGGGTGGCCTGCCTTCTGGTGACTAATGAGACCAATTCTGGATCTGCACATTCCTGAGCACGTGGGACAGGGTAAGTTCTGATCGCTGCTGGACGTTGCTTGATTGGCCGACTCCTTTCGAAGCTTGCATTTCACCATAGTAGCACTCACTCTGGAGTACTCGAACTGCTGAGCTGCCCGTTTGGTGGTTGACCTCAATTCGTCCTGTCTGATGCGAGCGTCTGTCAGCCTTTGTGGTCAACACCAGCCTGTGCCAGCTATCGCTCAAGCTGGTCCTTGTGGCGCCTGCGAGGAGCACCTCTGTCACGCTTGCCTTTGCTGAGCTCACTAAAGAACAGGGCTTTGGGCATCCTGTTGTCGTTGATGTTCAAGACTTGCCCGGCCCAGCGGAGATGTCACTGCAGCAGCATATCCTCGATGCTTGGCAGTCCTACCCTCTCTAGAACCTCAACATTGGTGAGGTACTTCTCCTTGCGAATACCCATGATGGAGCGCGGGCACCTCTGGTGGAAGCATTCCAGCAGCTGTAAGTACTTTCCGTAGAATTTCAACCAGGTCTCCGCAGCATACAGAAGAGTGCTGATGACGACTGCCACGTAAACTCTGACTTTGGTCATCAGGCGTAAGTGAGTGATTCTACGACACTCTGTGCTGGAGGCGACTAAAGGAGCTGCTGGCTCTGGCGAGACGGGGGTCCACGTTTTTTGGGGTTGTGGCAACATTGGAGATAACACTGCCCAGGTATGAAAATAGCTCCACCATGTTAAGTGGGTGACTGTTGCTGGTGCCCTGAGGTGAGCTGTACACTGCGCGCAGGCAATTTTGGTATAAGACAACCGTTTTCTTTAGGTTCATGGTCATACCGAATGCTTGAACAGACTTTGCGAAGTGGTCAACTACTATCCGGAGGGCATCCCCTGTGTGTGCTAGAATTGCACAGTCGTCGTCAAAGAGCAGCTCAAAGATCAGCTCCTCGATCGTCTTGGTTCGGGCGAGGTGACGGAGATTGAAAATGCTTCCATCGGTTTGGAACCTGATGTAGATGCCTTTGGTCAGTTCTTCCTTAGCCTCTCTCAGCATCGTAATGAAGACAATGGCAAAGAGTTTATGGGCCAGCACGCAGCCTTTTTTCACGCCATCTCCAGTAGGGAAGGGGTCGGGAAGGTTGCCGCTATGTTCGATCTGACCTTACGGGCCTTCGTGGAGTTGCTGAACGATGGTGAGGTACTTTGGTGAGTATCCTAGCTTGCCAAGGATCTTCTTTTTTTTTTGGACTGTGTTTATTAAGAAATACATTGCAGTAAAAAAACTGAATTGCGTCTCTTTACAAGTAAGAAATAAGAAATGATCTATAACTACTCCTATAATAAAATTACAAAGACGACTACTCTTAAAAATCACTTAAATGCTTCCCTCGCACTCTTAACAATGAATGAATTTCCAAATCTATTTGTCTTTGCTAGAGGCGTGGCAAACCTCCTTTGCCTTCTCAGCTCATATGAACTAGAAGCTGAGGGAGGCAGGAGGCTGGTAATCTTACTACGTGGATCATTAACAATAGATTTAAAAGATGTTCTGTTAAATTTCCCGGTGGGCCCTGATGGACTCGAGCCCTGCTAACTGAAGAGCGTCCGGGTAGTGCACCCTGAGAAAAATGCATGAGAGGGCCCTCTTTTGCACACTTTCAAGCTCGACTTGGAGATACTTTGGTAAACTGTAATGGAAAATAGGACAAGCGTAATCTAGTGAAGACCTACTACATACGCAAAAATATGTTACAAAATCTGAAGTAGGAACATGCGCACGCTTAAGTATAATAAGACAGTACAGTTTCTTAGACGCTTCCAGAGGCTGTCTGGAGTGACTGTGTCAGTCGAGAGTGATGCCGAAATCCAAAAGCTTCTCCAGGCCAAGCACTCCTGTAATACAAAACTCTTCTCTGGGCTGGATGACCATACTACCAAGGCAGAAGCCTGAAATGTACAGAAAGGTCTGAGAGGCATAAATGTTCAAGGTATATCTGTTCTGTTCTCGGCACTTTTCCTGTAACTTGCAATTCACGAAGGTCATGTCGACAGTGCTTCTTTTGGCGCCGAAGCCCGACTGACTGTCGGAGAGGTTTTACTCGGCGATGGCAGGGATGAGCCGGTCTAGGAGCACTCTAGCCAGTATCTTGCACACTATGGAGTTGAGCGTAATATCTTTGTAGTTGGAGCAGTCTGATTTGTCCCCTTTGTTCTTGTAGAGGCAGACAATGATTGCATATTTGAGCTCCTGTGGTACCTTTTCTCTGTCCCAACAGGAAGTGAACACCGTGGTGAGTCGTCCAACGACAGTGTCTGCTAGCTACGTACACCGCTGTCGGGATTCCATCAATGCCTGAAGCTTTGCCTGACTGCAACCTGCAACCTGTTGATAGTCGCCTTGATCTCTGCCTCTGTTGATGGGTTATCTAGTTCTAGCTTGATGTCATTCTGAGGGATCTTCTCGATGGAGGCCTCCTGGACGGAGCTTCTGTCTCCGAAGAGACCGAAGTAGTGCTCTGGTTAGCGAACAGCGATGAAGGATGGAGACCCTATCATTCAGTGGTGTGGAGCCATCAGACAAGCGTAGAGCAGCCTGAACCTGGCGCGTTGGGCAGTAGACAGCACCCAAAGCGCCCTAGAAGTCTTTGGAGTTACAATGTCGGCGGAAAACGGTACTTTTCTTCTGAATCTCTCTCAGACCCTTCTGTACATTTCTGGCTGCTGCTTTGGTAGCATGGTCATCCAGCCTACAGAGGAGCTTTGTATGACAGGCGTGCTCGGCCTGGAGAAGCTTTTGGATTTCGGCATCACTCTCGTCAAACCAGTATCTGTGCTTTCTGGTGGAGGGGCCGTCTACCTGCTCAGCAGTTTCTTGGAGAATGGTTTTCAGCTGCCGCTGGTGCTTGGGATCTGTTTCCTCGAATGGCCGTTTCTCCTTTTCCTGTCTGGTCTGGAGCTCCTCTTCAAACTCAGTTTTCATCGCCAGCAGCCTGTTGCTGTCAAGCTACCTCACCTGTGCCCCTCTTTTCCTCACTGAAGGGCAACCTCGTTCCCATGGCCTTTTCCCTTAACGACGTTGACTGCAGGCTTAATATTGAGTCGAACTTTGGTCCGACCAAGCCGGGTCTGGGTATGACTCTGGTGTGTGGCACCTAACGTAGGTCCTTTTGGTGCACGAGGAAGTAGTCCAGGAGGTGCTGGCGTTTGCAACGTGAGTTTCATCCCGCTTCGTGTTGTGTGAGTGACCGTTGTTCTGCAAAGCGCGCTGAGAATGGGCACTGTCGATATACGGTCGGGCTAGTTCCCGTACCACAGAGCTGTGCGTCGCTATGGTCAGTCAGCTGGGTCGAAGTCTTGCATCGTGCGGATAGTGTAGCAGCTAACTTGACACTCGTCGTCTTATGCTCTATGTTTTTCACCTTTATCTCACTGCTGGCGTGTGATATCCATTGACCTCAGCTAGCCAACCAGAAAGGGTGTGAGGTAAGCTGGGTTTGTATCACCTTTTCTAAGCCATTCTCCATGTGGAGCAAACAGTGCTATCCCTAAAAAGGGCTGCTTGGTCGCTCTGGGTGCTGCCAAATGCTGTTGTTACCTCCTCAACCGGCGAGTGACCAATATCCTGAGCCACTTACATACAGAGTCGGAGCTGCGACTCGGTACCGTCCGATACTTGTCGTTTCGCCCGATACTCGTCGTTTCGCCCCTTATCTATCGCTATAGGACTTTTCTCCTCGCCTGCGCTAAGTAGAGTTTAAAGTGGAGTTTAACGCGTGGAGACTATTCTTCTCCTGGCCTCTGGCTCAAAAGCCTTCCTGTTTAGATGTTAGGCGATCTAGAACTGCGTGATGAGGGTGACCGTCCTTTAGGGCGCTTATTCAAGTTTGAGTGGGAGAGGGAGGGGGGGGGCCCTTAATCGAGCCCCGGAACTTATTGACTCATTAGTGGGCACTAATTTGAAGTTCGGAGTTTAATCGAATAAAAACGGGTGCTCTATGTTGTACTAAAGGAGGAGGGTATGGCAACCTACAACTAGAATTACATTTTTTCCCACTGATATTTAATGATTCTGTTCAGCACCTGCTGATTGTCCGTTTTAGTTTGCTATTTACATGAGTTCTTATGCTTTAGAAAAATCGGTAATTTTTTTACTCAGCAAGGTTAAAATTGTAAAGGAAGATAAAGGAAAGGGAAAAGTCCCACGTATTTAGCGGATACTGTTGTCCATTGGGAACATCGTAGCCTAGCTCAAGAAAATAGGAGTCATCATGGCGACCTTCAGAGGATGTTACTCACAGGTCAACTAACTCTTGGCCCTCGAATAGATCAGATAACAGCGTCTCCAGTTTGTTGAAGTCCAGGGTTCTGTGTCAGAAAATGCATTTATTTTAAGGCAGTCTCCAGTTTCTCATCTTCTTTGATTTTTCTCTGAGATTTGATTTTGCCAAAAAAATAGCTGCAGGTTGTCTTATATTAGCACTGCAGTTTACGCTAAGAGCGAAAGATTCGAAGCGAACAAGCCCTTTATAATTGTAGGGAAATATCATATTCATAGTTCATTTATCGTTATAAAGCAACAATATTGCTTCTTGACCACAATTAAATTTCCCGGAATTACTTAAATATTCATTGCCATTACAGCGAAGGGTATTTATTTCCAGTTTTAGTTTTGGAACTTCAAAGTCGGTTCACCACATATTCTCTTATTTACAATTTCAGCTAAAACGAGGGTGCTCAATCGTGGGGGTGGGAGAGGGGGGAGGACTTGGTAAGAACTAAGCTTTACTTATTCTGCTGTAGGTAGCGTGCAATTATACAGAGAAAGACACTTATTAGAGCTTGGGTGCATATTGAAGGAAATACGGTGACTACTAGAATTACTAATTAGAATTCTAAACACATCGTACTTACAAATTTTGAAATGTGCTATTACAGGGGTCCCGGCAAGGCAGTTGAGTTTTGGACAAACTCTTTAAATTGTTGTTGTTCAAAAATCTGTTGTCAACAAACCAATTAAAAACGATTTGGAACAAATTTAGTTACACTCTGGAGGTATTCCTTTTTGTTTTTGTGGCTAAGGGCTTATAAACAGACTGAAGTTCTACTTACAGCTCGAATAGAAATGTGTTACTATGGAAAGCTTTTAAAGGCAATTGCTCCAGTAGGTTATAGGACAAGTCACTGTAGAAGCAGAATCAGGGGAAAGGCAAATTTACTGATTATATCAATTCACTGATAGTTATTGCAAGGAAACGTTATGTTTTAGTAGTCTAAATTGACTGTAAATCAATGCACATTATAAGAGAGTGAAAAATAGATATTTTTTAAACTAGGAATGTGCCATTGTTGTTTTCCAAAAATACACTAAGATCAAAAAACTGATATGAGCCAATACAGACAACAAAATAAGAATGAAATTGAATTGCAAATAATTCATTGACGTCAACAAAAAGACTATAAGACTTACGATGGTTGATACTTACAGACGAAGTAAGTAGCGCAGCGAATTAAAAGATCCGTTAGGCAGGTCCTTTAACCGATTGTTGGATAGCTCCCTATTTATATCAAGTGGTCCGAAAAACAAAACCCATGTAATTAGCATTAATGCTCTTTCTGATCTCATCGCCCATCTTTCAATTTCATTTTCCCTTTTTTGATAGTAGTGCACCAAATCGAAGGCTCCAGAGGGCAAGTCCTTAAACTGATTATGAGGTAGGTCCTTATTTATATTAAGAGATCAAAAAAAATTTGCAATTAGCATTTATGTTCTTTCTGATCTTATCTTCCAGCTTTCAATTTCATTTTCCCTTTTTTGATAGTAGTGCACCAAATCGAAGGCCCCAGAAGGCAAGTCCTTTAACTGATTATGAGATAGGTCCTTATTTATATTAAGTGATGAAAAAAAAATTGTAATTAGCATTTATGCTCTTTCTGATCTTATCTTCCATTTTTCAATTTGATTTTCCCTTTTTTGATAGTAGTGCACCAAATCGAAGGCCACAGAAGGCGAGTCCTTTAACTGATTATGAAATAGGTCCCTATTTATAGCTTTCAATTTCATTTTCCCTTTTTTGATAGTAGTGCACCAAATCGAAGGCCCCAGAAGGCAAGTCCTTTAGCTTATTATGAGATAGGTCCTTATTTATATCAAGTGATCAAAAAACAAAGACCTGTAATTAGCGTTTATGCTCTTTCTGAGCTTATTTTCCACCTTTCAATTTTTATTTTCCTTTTTTTGTGATTTCTTTTTCATGTTTGTTTGAAGCGGATGACTCACTTATAAAGAAGGAAGCGTAATTTGCGGACGAGCTCTTTAACTTGTTGTTCTTCAAATATCTGTTGTCGTTGTTATAGGACAAGTCACTGTAGAAGCAGCATCAGGGGAAAGCCAAATTTAGTGACAATATCAACTCACTGATAATTATTTTGAGGGAAAATTATGTTCAAGTAGTCTAAATTAATTGTAAATCAATGTTCATTATAAGGGTGTGAGATAAATATTTTTCAAACTAGGAATGCTCCATTGTTGTATTCCAAAGTGGACCAAGATGTGAGAAATGACATGAATCAATACTGAGGACAAAATAAGTATGAAAAGAAATTGCAAGTAATAACGGACATCCACAAAAAGGCTACGAGACTTTTGATGGTTGGTACTTACAGATGTGTTAAGTCGTGCAGCGAAGTAAAAGTTCCGTTAGGCAGGTCCTTTAACTTATTGCTTGATAGGTCCCTATTTAAATTAAGTGATCAAAAAAACAAAACCCATGTAATTGGCATTTATGCTCTTTCTGATTTTATCTTCCGTCTTTCAATTCTATTTTCCCTTTTTTGTGTTTCCTTTTTCTACTTTTATCCCTATGTTTCTTTTTTTCAAACGGCCGACTCACTTATAAAGAAGGAAGCGTAATTTGCGGACAAGCTCTTTAACTTGTTGCTGTTCAAATATCTGTTGTCGTTGTTATAGGACAAGTCACTGTAGAAGCAGCATCAGGGAAAAGCCAAATTTAGTGATAATATCAGCTCACTGATAATTATTTCGAGGGAAAATTATGTTCAAGTAGTCTAAATTGATTGTAAATCAATGCACATTATAAGGGAGTGAGAAATAAATATATTTTTGACGCTTTAACTCCGACAAGTGATTAACCTGTAAGTTCTCCTCATAGTATCCATAAATTATCCAGCAAACAGGTAATGAGAATACTCAAACTTATCAGGTAGAAGTTGTTACCATGATTGAACACCAAATTCTTGCGACTAACTAGTAAAAAGACCATGAGACTTTTGATGGTTGGTACTTACAGACGTGTGAAGTAATGCAACGAGTATTTACTTCAAGTGATCCAAAACTAAAAAATTTATATTAAATTTCTAACCTGTATATTAGCTCGAAAACCTTTGGTCACACATGAGCTCGCTCTTGTAGCCAGCCCATCTTGTTTAGCACGGCTTAATCTTTTCATGATCATAATTTTACCCATTAATTTTTCTTTTCTTTTCTACGCGGTTGATTTTTTCTATTTTTATCCCTGCTTTCCTGCTTTTGAAACGGCCGACTCACTTTCGGAGAAGGAAGTGTAATATGCTCCCTTTTTTACAAGTATTAGATGGCTTCATGGGACTATTTTAGGGTTATTTTGCGACGCAACTATTTAGCAAGGAACAACATTTTAATAGTTTTCTCAATAGCGCAGTACTAGGCTTTAGTTCAGGTATTTTTTTTGACTGAGGTTTGTTTCCCTAAAAAGAGTTCAACAGTTAAAAGACGCACGTTATTCTAGAAAGTTTTCAATTTAGATTTTCAAATATAGAATGACACATGTATCAAGAAGAATACTTGCAGGCCTCTGAGCCTCCACAAATGATAAAATATTTCTGGCGGTAGTGTCTCCAACTTATTTTCGGACAAATCTCTATAACCAAAATTGGATAAATAAAAGTATCAGGCCACGAAGACGTACACGCAGACGGATGATCTAAGGAGACCTTTCGGGAGTCAACATCAGAGATGTTGCGTACGATAGGATGTTGCTTAAAAAATCGATGTATCTGAGTTTATTGTCTCAAAAGTCCTAGTGTGTCTCCCTTTCTCAGCAGAAGTGAGAAAAAGCGTTACACATCGGAAATGGTTTTTGAGCTAGTGAAAAGCTCCTTACAGGTATCGCAGCTTGCGGTTGTTGCTGAAAATCCCCGTTAATAAGTTCTTTAAATTGTTTTTGGACAAGTTCCTGTTATAAAATAACATATCAAAACATTAACTCGGCTGCAAACCTGAAATGCATTTTTGACAATCAATTGATAAATCAGGAAAATATAGCTGTGAAGTTAGGAATTGGTCCAGTTGTGATATGACAGGACTAAATAACGTATGCGCAAGCGCTTAGTTTGGCCGCGGAAAACGGACTTGGAGTCGTTTGCAGGGTTGATTTCCTATTCTTTTGCTTCGAGGCGTCGATTTCCATGCTGCTTTTCTTTTACAGAACAACATCCAAAAACTTTGCACACCCGCTAAAAAATTTCGAAACTTAATTTTTTCCTTAAAAACTCTGCAAATAGGAAAATGCCTTTGATGACAACAAAATATCTCGGTTTTAAATGTCAACCCTTTTTATTTTCCGCTAATCTCGCTAAATACTAGACCTCACACGCTCGAGCCTGTGTTGTTGACCGGATACCCCCTGACGTCTTGTGATATTGCCTAGGCTCCGTTTCAAGTCAGCGGTCATCATATTACTAGTACCCACGCCATCGCATACGAACAAGCATTAATCATCATTCACTTAATTGTGATGTGACTTGGTTGTGTTTGCCTTGCCTCGCTATACGTTATAAAATCTTTTAACCTAATTGCTTACAGTTTTCCTGTAGCTCTTGGAATGTTCTGTGGAATTAATTTTAGCTGTTTCCCTTCACAATCGACAGATAGGAGGCCCTCCATGTTACCTTTCAGAACTATGCATTGACAAGGTTCAGGGCAGCCTAACAAACAATGACTGGGTATCAAATGAATCTCATGTGTGAGCAGTTTTCCTGAATTAGCTTCTTTTGATTTTATTTCAGCAGTTAAATCAAATGAGAGCAGACAGAACATTTCAGGTACTTATTGAATGACTTTTGAAGCCCAATATTTTAATGATTTCATGGGATTTAAAGGTTAGCCACAAAGACTACAAAAACGTTTAATTTATATCGTATATTCTTTCTACGAAATGGAAGGATTTACCAATAGCTTACTTCTGAGAACCATAAAAGTTGCATGAAAAATGGTCAAAATTTTATAAATGGTTCGCGCTGGATGGGGTGATTTTACAGGTGAGCTATGAGGAAGCATAAAACTGAAGTCTCTTGGTTTCGCAGCTTTTCGACTTCGAGCATTGAATTCAAGTTTTTTATGAATTCGCCCGTCCATCCTAATTAGGCAGTAAACTATCTGTTGTGGACTATTTCGGATTGCGACGTGATCTTAGTGAGTAGAAGTTTTGTTGGTTATTTTACATGTTTTGAGTGAGAGGTTATTTCGCAATTGGTCTGTAAATTATGTAATCTTATTCAAAGTAGTAGCAGGCTTTCCTGGCAGGGTTGTACAAAGCTTTTAAGCAAATGGGTAGAGAAGGGCAACTACGCGGGACAGATACGTGTACATTAACCTAAATATTTTTTGACAGACTTACTCTCGACAATAAGAGTGATGTTTTTCCTCTTCAACAGACCATTACTGTCCACTTCACAACTGTAGTTTGCAATTCTTTCTTCTTCAGTGATGTTCAGTCGGTATCTTACACTAGTGCTGTTTTGCACAACAGTGCCATTTATTCTCCAAACAATGTGCGGAGCTGGTCCACCTTCCGCCGGGCACCACAATGATGAAGAATGGTCGAGCAGGACGAACTGAGTTTGTGCTACGCCAGTTAGGTTTGCGAGAACTATAGACGTTAAAAAAGACATGAGTAAAAGTGTTTTTTCGTCTTGCCACGAGCTTCGGACGAAGAAAAAACCTCGAGCCTCGGACGTTCAGATTCCACGCTTCGATGCTCTACTTTGCTTATTACTTTCGCTCTATCGTACTGGCATAAAATTAATGAGATTGAACGCAAAAGTTTATACCTGTTCCATTTATTGCTTTTCCCTCATAGCTTGAATTCCGAAACCGGTATCTATGCTGAGGTGAAAATCTTAACCACATATTATGTCCACTGGATCGCAGGGTAAAATAAGGAGTGATCCTTCCACAAAATACACCCAGTAGATTGGCAGACTGATTATAACCATCAAGGATCTCAAGATACTCCTCATCAGCACAAGGTACTCCAGGCAACCGGTAGGGCTTCCAGATGCTAAATCTTATTTCCACATATTGCCCTTTCTCCACTTGAAGAAGATGACTTGTCTCGAAGTCTGAGATATTCTGTCGGGTGTAGACCTCCGTGATAGTTACAACTGTATAAAATACGTATATCTCAGGGAATAAGTACACAATCTATACAGTAACATGATTAATCATCGCTTGTGAATCATTTTAAGCCTCTGTTAGCGCTGGCCTTAACGATGATACCTGCCAACAATTTTTATTTGCTTAAAACAGAAGTTGTCCTAGTCCTTCTCAAGTAATCGCAATCTATTTGTTTATCTTTTTTCGCTTTGCTAGTTTTTTTCAAAAAAGCTTACACACCCAGGTGAGAAGTGAACCACTGTTTCATGCTAAGGCACAATGAGACATATGGTCGTTTAGCCCGCTACCGGTTCGCTAACGTTCGCAAGCGTCATGTGTCGTTTCAAAAACGACCGAATAAGTCGTCTTGCTGAAGTTTAAAGTCAACCACTAAGAAGCATATCAAAGTCTCGGCTACTACTAATTTCAGAAAAATTACATGAAGAACGCCTAATGCTTAAATTTTGATAAAAAATAACTTATCGATGCGATAGTATCAATAGTTCTTTTTGCCATGTTGACGAACAATAGGAACAATTGACTTACTCAAAACAAGCGCTAAAATCCACATGCTCTCGATAGACATCTTCCCTGACAAAAGGAAACAAAACTAATGTAAATTACATATATCCTGAACCCTTCACAAACCACCCAGTTTGAAAATAATGTTGAAAGTGTGCTAAGAAATCTCAACCATTTTTTTTCTCTTTAAAATGGGGCAACTCGCAATGTGGACGACATGTTTCATATCTCTCTTTTCCCTTTGTTTTCTTTGCTTTTCGCTTCTTTTATTTCATCGACACATTTTTCAGAAAGTCACTAATGCAACCGTCACAGATGTTACAAGTCGGTAAGCATGATACGTAAGTTATAAACGTAAAGGTCAATTTCAACTTTAAGAAATTTTGAATAATTTAAATTCTCTGAGCTATTGGTACTCGAAATTGTTGCATCCACCGTTATCTTGTATGTATATGCGCCTTATCAAATACTCTGATGTTGTAAATTTTTTTTTGTTTCTGCTCAAATAAATGTTAAAAATTCTAGGCCTGATAAAAATATGGGAAGAACAGATGTCAAACTTATTTAGTTCACTCGAACCTATCAAAACTTATAGTATTCACACACGATTTTTAAAATGTTAGCATCATTGTCTGGTTCTCTCTGTACGAATGACTTTACCAACTTGTCTTGGTGAAACCTGATAAACCAAAGGAGCACGTATAACAACAGAATGGTCTACCTGAAGGGAAAATATCTCACGAGTTATTCCAAGCAAGTGCTGTTTCAGTGACTTTTAATATCGCACGGAAAATTTTCATTTAGATCCCTTAGAGTGCATGATAATTCTGACAGATGTCACAAGGTGTCACTTTCATGTGATATAGCAAGAAGCTTCCAATTATTTTATGGTTATTTATTCATGTGAAGTTGGAAACTTAAGTGTGACAAGAAGTTGTTTTCGAATAAAAAATTGCGCTCTTTTCCAGGAATTAACATTTAGGGCCATTGACAAAGATTACTTGCGAAAATAGATGTAGCGAAATGCCTGTTTTAGGATCCCATTAAATATTTTAACATCAAGATGGTGATCATCGGTTGCTATATGTGTAAATGTTTATTGGCTACTTTCGGCTCTTTGTACTTTTGCTCCTTTTTTTTTTTTTTTAACTTAAATTGAATAGAAATTGAATATGGAGAACTTTTTTAAAATCAAGTTGAACAGGAGCCGAACATCTTCCTAAGATGATAAAGTCGGTACTGCTCAGCTCTAGAAATGCAAAGCTGAATTTGATGTTCAAAAAGTGACGGAAGA